TGGCCATTAAAAGAGAAGCATAATATTAAGTTAAGTGTTGCAGAGTTGAGGATGCTTAGGTGAATGAGTGGCTTTACTCTTAGAGATAGGATACAAAATGAGCATATACGTGAAAAGGTTGGATTAGCTAGATTGTTTGGTCAACATAAAACGGCGGCTTTCCGATAACCCGATTAGGAAAGTTGATGTATTAGATTTGACTTATATTAAGAAAGGTAGAGGTAGACCTAAAAGGACTTGGTTAAAAATATTAGAAATGACCTTTCTTTATTAGATTTAGATGAGAATTTGACTCTTAACAAGACACAATGGAGAAAAAAGGATTCATAAAGCCGACCCCACATAGTGGGATAAAGGCTTGTTGTTGTTGTTGAAGATACTATAGTTCATCAATATTCTTTGGAGGAGTATTAGATGCAATATGAATCTCATCTGGTATTGCTGACTTTGGAATCCGCAATAATGTTAGAATTTGTTTGTGAACCTAACCCTAAATTTGAGCATCAGTCAAAACCCAAACTTGAAATAGAGTTCGAGTATTATAACATTTTTAAACCTAACCCTCAATTAGAAATTGAAATTGAACCTATGCATCTAAACATAAATTGCATTGAGAATTTGACTCTAATCTTGATTGTGAATTGAAATTTTATTAGAAATTGAATTCATTCCTGAATATGAACTTTAACTTTTAAAATACATTGAATGTAGTGTTGAATGTTAACCTAAATCAACCACGCCTGATGAAAAATTGAAGAATCCATTGATTTAACTCGTGATAAAGTTTCTAACCAAATTATTTCTACAAATCTAATTGAAATTTATTTGTTTTGGTTCTTGATTTCTTGACTCATAAATTTAGAAAGAGAATCTTAGGGAGAAAGTGAAATGTGTCAACGTTTCAAAAAAGTTATTTATGATGGCTGCTTGAAAAGAACTTGAAATTCAAAATTGCATAAAAAATAATTTATTTATGATAAAGTGCATAATTCATCACAATTGATCTTTAAGTTATTTGATTTAGCCTTCTTTAAGAAAGCTATTTATTCATGTAGGGTCATATTTGTATTTTTATTTGCTTTGAAATTTCTTTACCATCTCAGCTTATAAGAATTTTCTATAGTTCATTATAACTACCAATTAGGATATATATCAATATTTTAGTATTTCATTTCTTGCTTCTATCAGATCAGTCATTTTTATTTAAATCTATTTTATAGCAAAATTTAAATTTTGAGAGATCTTTAGATTATTTTTTGGGATGTATTTATGTGTTTTCTGATTTATATAAAAAACATGAAGTTTTTATCTAATAGTCGGTATGCTGTGAATTTTGATCTTTTGTGTATGCTCTTGTGCTTCACATCTAAATTTGCTTAAAATGTCCAACACCAAATTGATTAAGCATTTCAAATTAATTTCATATTTTCTTCTTTAAGGCTTTATCAAGGATCAACCTTAAACCCATATATATCTTTTTGCTTTAGTCATGGATGTTCTCACTAAACATTTGCAAGAAGATGTACCTTGGTGTATGATTTTTGCATATGATATTCTTCTTGTTGATAAAACTAGAGAGAGAGTTGAAGGTAAAGTTGAATTATGGAGGTCAACCTTAGAGTCTAAAGGCTTTCGCTTGAGTAGATCTAAGGCTTTGTCGAGACAAACTTAGTGCTGCTACATAAATTCTATAAGTGGTTAGAGTAGTCTTAACGATTGTATTATGTTGATTTGATTACCTGTTATTTACTTCCTAACCTTCTTTATTCAAGAAAATATGATAAATAATGAAAATTATGATTTTAGCTTTTTAATTTAAAAAAAAAAAGTTGAATTTTTTTAATCGTTTTGTTTTTACGAAGCAAGGCATAAGCAGCAGCAACAACAACAACAACATCAAGCCTTTATCCCACTACGTGGGGTCGGCTACATGAATCCTTTTTCTCCATTGTGTCCTATTAAAAGTCAAATTCTCGTTTAAATCTAATAAAGAAAGGTCATTCCTAATATTTTCTAACCAAGTCTTTTTAGGTCTACCCCTACCTTTCTTAACATAAGTCAAATCTAATACCTTTACTCTCCTAACCGGGTCATCTGAAGGTCGCCGTTTTATGTGACCAAACCATCTAAGGCAACTCTTTCTAATCTTATCTTCAACTGGAGCTACTCCAACCTTTTCACGTATATGCTCATTTCGTATCCTATCTCTAAGGGTAAAGCCACTCATCCACCTGAGCATCCTCATCTCTGCCACACTTAACTTAGTATTATGCTTCTCTTTTAATGGCCAACATTCGGCACCATAAAGCATTGCAGGCCTCACTACCATCTTATAGAATTTTCCCTTAAGTTTGAGGGGTACATTTCTATCACATAACAAGCCCGATGCATTCCTCCACTTCAACCATCCAACTTGAATTCTGTTGATAATATCCCCATCTATTTCACCATCACTCTGAACAATAGATCCAAGATATCTAAAACGTGTACTCTTATTAATGACTTGATCGCCCAAAGTCACAATCCCCTCACTAGGTCTATTACTACTAAAATTACACTCCATATATTCCGTTTTAGATCTACTCAAGCGAAAACCTTTAGACTCTAAGGTTGACCTCCATAATTCAAGTTTACCTTCAACTCCCTCTCTAGTCTTATCAACAAGAAGAATATCATCAGCAAAAAGCATACACCAAGGTACATCCTCTAGCAAATGTCTAGTGAGAACATCCATGAATTCATAAAAAAAAAACAAAAAAAAAATTCATAAAAACAAAAAAAAAATTCATGAAATTATAATTAATTCATAAAAAAAAATCTATCATTATATTTACTTGATTCATCATCATAAATATATAAATTACAAATCTCAATAATAAATGTTATAATGACATGAAAGTTTTAAACGAGATTCAAAGTAAACAGACACTTAAAACTTAAATATTCCACAAAGAAATTTCATATTCTTCAAAAGTGTCATCGTAATTAATATTTTTATCATTCTAGGATTCAATCTCATTATCATCTTCAAAATATTCTTTCATTACAACATTTTTTTTCTTATTACTTGTATTAGTTAATATTGCATTAAATGTAAGATAAAGTAAAACTACAAATTCATCACACAACTAAGTGATCTATTATACTTAAATTACTTTTTGGTTTTTTGTAAACTCCAACTCCACTTTTCTTCGTTCTTTTAAATGATTGTGAAGTAGAAGCTACTTCTAATTCAGCAGAAAACATAATAATAATATATAATAAATTTTTTTACTAAAATTCAATCTTAATGAGGCATTGCCTTAAAACACCTTTAGGTATGTAACCTTCACGCATATGCCTCATTTAAGCCTCACTGGCTCCAGTGAGGCTTAAGCCTCAATGCACTTCTTGTGTGCCTCAATTCAAGGTGCGTCTTGCGCCTTGAATGATTTTTTTTTTCTTAACCAATTTCTTTCAAGAAGAATCATTATTGAGCTATTTGTTAAACCATAATGAGTATGTTCACAAGTATAAAGGAAGCGAGTCAATGTTCAAATATGTTCATTAATATGAGGAGCTTTAAGATTTTATTAGAACTTTTTCAATTATGTAATTAAACGAATATAGACTAGTTTATATGAACAAGTATCGAGTTGTTTCTTCAGTGCACTTATTTGCTTATAGCCCTACCATTGCCCATGCCAGTGTCATCACCAGGCCCTTCCTCGAAGACTAGCAAAAAGAATGGGTGCTCCAACATCGTCGAGATTGACTTTAGAATGAGAAAAAAAAAACTAGTTTGGAAATATTAACAAATAACTTGACATTTTTGTTTTATTACTCTTTTAGACAAAATAATTTATTTTAAAATAAAAAATATTTTGTTATCATTTTAGTTATTTTAAAACCATTAAAAAATAAATATGAACTTAGTGAGATCTTAAGTTTATGTTTATTTGCATTGGTTATGGAGATATAGAAGTAACATAGTATCTTGTATATTATTTGAGGATCATGGTACGTTGGTCATTGGGATCTTTGTTTAAATATTTAGAATATGAAGGTTTAAATGTTTATTGAATATGATTGGAGTATATGATATGTAAGCTTACTGGATATGAATTGATGAATATGATTTGATATTAGAAGATGAAATGATACTTTTGTTTGATAGATTGAATAATATTAAGTATCATGGATCGGTTATACAAAAAAATAAGGAAACGGATATCAGAGTGAAGGTTCGTTAATTGAAAAGAGAAACGCCTTTGGTGTTAGGCTTCAAGATAAGTTTTATAAAAGTATAACTAGATTAGTTGTGTTCTATTAGTCCAAATTCATTTATGAACAACTTATTGATTGTCAAATTGAGAGTGGTGGCAATAAGAATGCTAAGATGGATGTGTGATTGTACTAGGAATGAGAGATTTAGAAATGATTAAGTGAGAAGAACTATAGAAGTAGCACTTCCTGAAAGATAAGATTGTGGAATAGGCTTAGTTGTTTTGACCATATATTATGGGTTAATAACATTAATGTGGAATGATTAGAAAAAAAAGGGCTAGGTCAAAGGTTAAATGGACAAAATTGTGCAGAAGATTTACACAATATTTTTAATCACTCATGCAATTCTCATAAGGAATGAATAATTTTAAGTTTTGTATATTTAATTAAAATTTCTTTTAACTAACAAAGATTTAAAATTTTGCTGCACATTTTGCCACCAATACTGTTGGCTATTGTTTTATTGAGTTTTTAACTTCTTACGTATCATGCAGCATCAAGTTCTAGCTAGGTTTTATACAAGCATGTTTGGCTGACTGTAAAACTTTGCTATGGTTCAATATATAGGTTTCCAATGTTTCGTTTGTTTTCTATTTAATTTTCTGCTTATTGCTATGTTTGTTAAATTTCACTGGTTGAACTAATGTTCGTTTGTTTTTGTTCTAATTTTCTGCTTATTGCTATGTTTGTTAAATTTCACTGGTTGAACTAATGTTCGTTTGTTTTTGTTGTAGATTCTTGAAAGCATGCAGCTATGGGTTGTCGTCCTGAATCCAGGTGAACGATAAAACATAAATTTTATTGTTTCTTGTTCGCTTGTGTCAGTGAACTAGTAATGGCAACTTTGTTAATTGATTTCTAGGGAAGGCTTATTTGATTGCTTGTAAATAAAACTATGTTTTAAAAAAATTGATGATTTCATTCACTTAATTTGAATTGGAAAATGAAATCACATGTTTAAGAGAGTTGAGAAGGTTTGTGAAATTTGAAATCAGCGTACATCTTACTACACCCAATTAAATGTTGGATTTAATAAACTTAAAGCTTTTTTTAAATTATAATTTTTAACTAAAAGCAAGCAAATAAAGCCTTGCTGGCAAACTTCTTATGCCTTCCTTTCCAACACATAATTCTCAACCATTTTACCCATTAGCTCATGTCAGATCGTTGCTACTGAAGATTTATTAGCATAAGTTGCAGCAAATGTGAACTTTGGATTTAATAAAAGAATCCATACTGTTTTTGTTTTTTTTTTTGTTGGGATATTGTTTGTGGCATAGATGTAGAAAACAATATATGCTTCTTATGTATTTATCGTTGTGCAATTGTTTGAAGGCGATGATTTGCATTAAAAGCATTCCGATTACAACTGCAAATCTCTCACAACTGAAACTGCCAAATTGATTACAAAATTCTATGGAGATCGCTGGACTTTTCTATACTGTATATTTTGCCATTCTGAACCCCCTGCCATAGAAAAGTAGTACTGACATATTGTCTAAATGTGTTGTTTCAGTTCATTCAGTGCTCCCTATAATGCTGCCGGATGATACTGGACCACTTCTCCTCTTTACGAAAAATCAAGAAAACTGTTTAGTTGTTTTCTTTCTTTAAGGTTTCCTGGAGTATGTTTGGTCACAAGAAGGCTATATCCTAAGCCTTATTATCCTGTGAGAGATTTATAATGTTGAGACATTTGTGTCCTGCTTTTTAGGATGCTTGTGGTTGTGGCTTCAGTTTGTATTCTAAAGACTTATTTGTTCTGTATGAGTTTTAGATATTTTGCCATCACAGTCGCTTCTACTCGATTGTTTCAGTGGCAAAGAAGAGCCGTTAAGATTTTATAACTGTTCATTTCATGGTTGCAGCATGATGGGGAATCTATATGTATACATTAGTTGGGTATGAATTTTGATTCTCTTTTATCTGACTTATGCAATTTCTATTTCAATTGATAAATTTATTTTGAACGGTTGGAATTGATTCTATTTATATTTTAAGCAATTATTCTGGTTTCTATAAAAACGTTTCCTGCAGCCCAAAATGAATTGACAGGCTTATTTTGAGATGTGTAATGTAAGCGTTGATTGGTTATTTATATATGAAATTCTACTTAAACCCTAAATTAAAGAGGTTTAAATTTTATTTTATCGAATTTTAACGAGAATGTATTTGCATAAAATTCTCCTTTTATATCTAAATGTTCGAGGATTTTTGTTAAATAATCTTATTCAAATATTAATATTATAAAATAAACGCGGTAAACTAATCTCATAATATTATTAAGAATTGATATGTCATCAAAAAAATATCTTGATCGGGCATGAATCTTGAGGCAAAATCAAGTTGGAAACTTCCGAAATTAAAATTGGAATCATCCGAACTCCAATTTATGCAAATTTATAGTTGAACTGAGCGTCTCAGAAATATGAACTGACATCAAAATCAACTCAATCCGAGTTCAAATGGGTCAAAATCAAGGGTTATAAGCACTATTGGAAGGTTCAAACTACAATTTGGATTACCAAATGGTTTCCAAGCATGACGTGCTTATAGTCAAATCGAGCGGCTCGATAAGATGAATCCAACGAGCACAAGATCGCCAAATTCCGACATAACTAAGGCATTCAAATGTCCATTAAACGATTCTTGCTCAAGGGATTCAATATCAGCCGTCCATCCAACCACTCCCCATTCACGCTTGATCTCTCATTTATTTACGGGCTATGACACTCCAAAAATCTAAAAATATACCCCTCATTTCTCTTGAAAGGGGACCGAAAGAAGGAAGAAGAGAAGGAAGAAACTCCTCCACGACCACCGGTGAACTTCAGCCAGACCACCACTTGAGGCCCTCACCTCCGCCTGACGTCGTTGCTCCGCCGGACCACCACCTTAGGCCCAGACTTCTGCTGGACCACTACTTAAGGCCCTCACCTCCGCTGAACCACCGCCTGACGTCGTTACTATGTCGGACCACCATCTAAGGCCTAGACTTCTACCGGACCACCACTTGAGGCCCTCACCTCTACTGGATCACCGTCTGACGTCGTTGCTCCGTCGGACCACCACTTAAGGCCTGAACTTCTGCCGGACCACTACTTGAGGCCCTCACCTCCACCGGACCATCGCCTGACATCGTTGCTTCACTAGACCACTGCCTGACATCATTGCTCTACCAGACCACCACTTAAGGCCCGGACTTCTGCCAGACCACCACTTGAGGCCCTCGCCTCCGCCAGACCATCGTTTGACGGTTTTGCTCTACTGGACCACCACTTAACGCAGATATTTCTAGCAGACCACCACTTGAGACCCTCGTCTCTACCGGACCACCGGCTGACGTCGTTGCTCCGCCGGACCACCACTTAAGGCCCAGACTTTTGTCGGACTACCACTTGAGGCCCTTACCTCCGTCGGACCACCGCTTGACATTGTTGCTCCATCGGACCACCACTGGAAGCTCTCACCTCCGTCGAACCATCGCTTGACATCATTGCTCCGTTGAAGCACCACTTGAGGCCCTAAGTTCTGTTGGACCACCTCCTGACGTCGTTGCTCCGCGGGACCACCACCTGAGGCCCGGACTTCCGCCGGACCACCACTTGAGCCCCAAACTTCCACCGGACCACCACCTGATGCTCGGACTTCTACCATACCACCACATGAGGCCCGAACTCTTATTAGGCCACCATCTGATGCCAGAGTTCTACCAGAGTATCGCCCTACTACAATTGTCTTTCTAACCCCGGTCTCCTACCAACTACGATCTTTTAGACCTCTGTCTCCTGTAGACTACGGTCCTTCTGACATCCATCGCATACTATGGTCCTTCCGACCTACATCGTCAAACAATGATCTTTCTGACCCCTGTCTCCTACTGCCTATGGTCCTTCCGACCTCTGTCGCATACTACGGTCCTTCCGACCTACATCGCCAAACAATGGTCTTCCTGACCCCTGTCTTCTGCCGCATATGGTCCTTCCGACCTACATCGCCAGACAATGATCTTTCTGACCCCTGTCTCCTACTGCCTATAATCCTTTCGACCTCTGTCGCCTACTACGGTCCTTCTGACCTATATCGCCAGACAACAGTCATTCTAACATCGGTCTCCTGCATACTACGGTCCTTCCAACCTACATCGCCAGACAACGATCTTTCTCACCACGGTCTCCTGCAAACTACGATCTTTCGGACCCCTGTCTCCTGCCGACTATGGCCCTTCAAATCAAACAAAAATATCTATATTGATTATTGTAACACCCACCATGTAATGTGCTCTATATGATATACATTTGTACCATCAAGCCAAGGCCTTCTCCCAAGGAAGGGCCTCATTTGTAATCGACTATAAATACTAGTGGATTCATTCAAACTGGGCTAGACCCCGTGGTTTTTCCCTATTTTTAGGGGTTTTCACGTAAAAACTATGGTGTCTCTTATGAACGCTACACTCTCTCTTATCTGCTTGTTTGTTTGATCTTTGTACAACGCTAAGACGTTAAACTATATATTTTTCTACCGCTGCGAATACTCCAGGACGCAACAAGAATAATTAATGATAATTAAAATTGAAGTACTTTAGGCAGTAGTTAATATGATTATTATTTTGATCTTTTAAATTTGGTGATCAATTTTAGTTTAGTTGTGATCATTTTAATTTAGTTTAATTTAAGAGATCAGTTTTAATTTAAGTACTTCGTATTTTCCGATGACGTGGCCAAATAATATTATGGAGTTGATGGCACTAATATCATAAAGTAATATCAAGTGCTTTAGCTTTATATAATCCTACAAATTAATCCTTCTCTTTTTTTTTCTCCTTCTTTCTTCCTTTATAACCTTTGGTCAACCATGAGAAAAATAAAAGCAGTAAGATGAGCCATCCCGAGTCTCGATTAGCATATGAGAAACAAAAATTATATATTATCCCGCTTTGTAGAAATGAGATAGAGATAAATTTAAAATGACTTAGAAAATATAAAAAATGATTTTTAATTATTAAATTTAAATAAAAATTTGACTTTTAATAAGATACAATATTAAAAAAATCACATATTAGAATAAAGATTTGATGTTGTCGTTGGTCGTATAAATGTCTTAGTAAAACTGCAAAATCACCATTAAAGATCGATGGTTTCTTTTTTATTTTGCAAATCATTCTGTCATTAGTGGGGACATGCATGCAAGGCAACTCAATGGTTGAGCGCAGGTAATGCCTCCCGTCGGCTCCCGTTCGACCTCTAAACGGCTCCCCCAAAATAATCATTATGTCATCATGTGAAAATGATTTTTTTTGCTTTTTATTGTTTACAGGAAAGGTGAAATCGACAATTGAGTCAGCGCCAGAGCAACGAATGGATATATCAAACTTTTGAGAAGCTTGATCCCCTCCCCTGACGCTTATCCTTATGGGAGAAATTATTTTGTGCGGATGCCGGACGTAGCTCGACGTCTAGAGATGAATCAGGTGCAGTCACATCAGTGGTACAGAGCAAAATGGTGACGTGACGCATTATGTTCAACTTGTAAGTCTTTTAAAAATTTTGATTTTGATTTTAGTTGAATTTTTTAACTTTTAGTTAGAAATAGCCGATTTTAATTCTACTTTTGAGCTGATTCTAATCAAATCTATTTATTATAAGAAATAAGATTCTAAATTTTATGAGCTTATAATATAACATATAATTTCATACATGAATAAAAAGAAAGATGTAACAAAAAGTACAAAATCATAAATACAATCCCATTATAGTTGTGAACACATTTCAATCTAATGGTTATAAATAATTCTTTAGAAAACTTTTTTATTTTCTATCATAAATGACATTAAATACTATTATAAGTTTTTCTATGAATTACTCTATAATATTTCTAACATCTTCTACAAAATATTATTCTAACTATGAACTCTATTTAGACAATAAAAAAATTAGATAATAAGATTTTTTTGTGTGTTTAATGAAAATTTGTGAGGGAGAAATCTACTATTTTTCTGTTTTCTTTGGAGAATTTTTTTCTACAAGTATTGTGAGATCTTCTAGGCACATCATTGTTAATTTTGCTATAATATTTGATTGTAAGGCTATTTGTACCTTTTAGCCTCATGGATATAGATTAATTTTTATCAAACTCTATAAACAATAAACATTGATGTCCTCGTCTTTATAGTTGTATTATTATTTCTTTATATATATATATATATAATGGATATGAGTATGTAATTCTTGATATGTGATTTTATTTTGAGCTTATTATTCAAAGGAGAGTGGTTAACAAAATATTATTTGGTGTTGTGACTTCTTGTTCAGGGCTTGCGCTTGATGAATCTAGCTTTTTTTGGTTTTATTTACTCACCAATACAACACATATTGGAGGAAATATAAGCGTGTGATCAGCTTTGCTGATATCTATGCACCATATACATTCTTTAAAGGAAGGTAAGCTCAAGTTTATGAGTAAAGAGTAATAAATAATTATATTCATTATGTTTGAGATATCGATAATATTCTTATTCAATATTGTGATTGACTGCAGCTTTGATGATTCTAAGTTAGAATGTTTGAGAAAGGCAATGGTGAATAATGATGAGATGAAGTTGTTTGATTTTGATCCCATGCACATTGAATGGGATGATTACTTGATTAACATTCACATTCCAGGTGTAATCAAGTAT